TGTTTTTTTTGTAAGAAATTTTTAGTGAATTTTTCGGCCAGAGTGGGAAGGGATGAGATATTAGTGAGATTAGACTATTTTGTATGAGAAGGAACATTGCGTCAAGCCGCCTCCTGCAATATCTCTTACTTGGGATGTGCGCGCAACCCTAGGTACCTCCCTCGCCCAGATTCGAGCCTGGGACTTTGCAGTCAGCGAGGCAGAGCCTCTTCCACAGTAGCCAAACCGTTTTGAGTCTATAAAAAGCTTTTTTTAATGTATTTTTTCAGAGATATATTAACATAGCCATCTGTTTCCCCCCCTTCAGGTGTGTAATTGGAGGGGGGTTTAGCATGTCCAGGGGAGTGGCGCAACCATCACAACCACCGTCAGGCTGTCTCCATCGCCCAGGAGGACAGCGTGTGCCTGCGGTCAGTGCCGACTGCCCAGCTCCCCCCCCCCCCCGCCACAAGCAGCCCCCCTCTATTTCCTGTGTCCGTGGACTGTGCACTCTGGACATTCACACACGTGGAATCCCACGATACAAGCTCCCTCGTGTCCGCCTTCTTTCATTTAATTTTTGCCCGGAAATGTAAACTCAACATTGAACATCATCCTTACACCCACTTCACAGGTCACTGTTTTTGCTATTATAGGAATTTCTGCTCTTAGAAAGCCTTGTTTTGTCCAGCTGAACACTGCTCAGGAGACGGCTGCTCAGCATCAGAGATGATCACAGGCCTACCAGAGGCCTTCTCCGCCCGCCAATCTCGCAGGGGAAGTTTGTTGTGGTTTTGTTTGCGTGTTTATTTGTGGGGGAGGGGGAGCAGTTTGGTTTTTATCCAGGAAGCCATGCAGTTTCTTACACCCCCCTCCTGGGTTGATATGAGGAGAAACGGTGTACAAGTGCCTACGGGTCAACAGGAGGCACCTGTTAACTTTGTTAATCATCGAAACCCCTTTGCCTCCCTTGAGGGCGTCCACTCCACCTCCCCGGGAAGCGCCGGGGCTGTGCCAACCTTCCCCGCGCTGCCAGGAGGCTGCAGTGTCCAGCCCGGGACTCACAGACCAAGGCCAGGCTGACCCGGGGAGATCCCCGCAGAACACGATTCCGATCCAATCAGCGACTTGCTGTTTTAGTTCTAAAAAGCAGTTCTCCTTCTTTAGCGCATTTATTTGTTAAGAGCGAACACCTGCTCATCCTACCAACGTCAGAAGGAGCAGGAGGGTACCCTGCGGCCTTTCCCGCATCCCTCGAACCCGTAACCCTCCTTCGCCCCGACGTTTCTCCTGTCTGCTGTCCCGCTGTCCTTGTCCCTGTGCGCACACGAGCGGCATATCCGACACCGTTCTGCGCCTGGACGCTTTTCCTGTGAACCGTAACGGTCGGCCCGGCGCACACCGAGCCTCTTCTTGCTGCTGCTGCTGCACAGCGTCCCCTCGACCTGACCGGAGGCACCGGGACCCCCTCACCCTCCCCGCGGGAGGCAGGGGCGCCCGCAGCTGGCAGTCAGTGCGCGGGAAGGGCGTGCATCGCGGGAGGGAGGGGCGCCCGCAGCTGGCAGTCAGTGCGCGGGAAGGGCGTGCATCGCGGGAGGGAGGGAGGGGCGCACGCAGCTGGCAGTCCGCGCCCGGGAAGGGCATGCATTGCGGGAGGGAGGGGCGCCCTCAGCTCGCAGTCCGCGCCCGGGAAGGGCCGCCGCCCGCGGGACACGGCACACCGCCGTCCGGGGGCTGTGGCTCCAGAGCCGCGCGTGCTGGCCCATCACCGATGGGAACACGCGCCCGAGTCACCGTCTCCCAGGCGATGCTCCTTGGCCAAGACCGTCACTGCAGCGTCTCCAATGCCCGAATCACCCACCACGTAGGCCGGATGGAGAATCAAACACTAAAAATAAACCCTGAAC